TTTAGTGTTTAGCCCTAATCAGCATTATGGCCTACATATCATGTCACCATTATATTGGGCTTACATCTCTACTAATTAATAAAAAAAAAAATTAATATTCTCTTTGAAAAATATTTTTGGGAAGAAAAAATATACTTTTTGAAAAGCAAAAAAAAATATGCATATAAAGGTATATTTTGGAAGTATGTTTCATCATTTACCCCCTAAACTTGAAGAGTAAAAATATATATTCAAAACGTATTTCTTGAAAAAAGAATATATACTTCTAAAAGTACTTTTAGAAAAACAAAATATATACTTTTGTAAAGAACTTTCTTGAAGAAAAAATGATTTTACTCTTTTAGAAATTACTTTTCAAAAGTAAGTTGAAGAGTAAAAATAATTTTCTACAAAGTATCTTTTGGAAGAGTAAAAGGTATTTCTCTTCCAATAAGTACCTTCTGAAAGTATATTTTAAGAACTTGAAAATATAATTGCATAATAGTAATAATAATAAAAAAATATCATTTATATTTAATAATTCATCATAAAACTAATGACGTAAAATTAATGAATCATATTAGGGATGATAAAAAAAAACTTGTATTTATTGTAAAAATAGTTAACAAACATTGTATTAAAGGACTTATCTGCACATTCTACGCAAGTGCCATGGGATTCAACCAGATTTTTCCATTATTAGACTAGAGTACAAAGCTAGCAGTGTCAATGCTTTTGACTCTTACTAATTCTTAATATTTATAATAGGAAATTCTGAATATTATGACTATAATTAATCACGATAATTAAAATCAATTAATTTTAAAAAGTTAAATTATTAAATTAATTAAAACTAAATAGTTAAGTTATTATATCTCATTAAAATTAATTAAATTTTAATATCAATAATTAATGAAATAATTATTTTGAATTTAAATTTAAATTCAAAATAATTTTATAAATTAATTAACCTTTTAAAATATCTCAAAATATATGATAGTATCCACAAATAAAATTTATTGTGAATTTTAAATGGATAATTTAACGGGTACCTGCTTAATAATGGGACAAACATAAATAGTAAAATATATTATCCATACCTACTAGTATTCCAACTTTAAAAATATTAAAAATAAGCTTAATCATATTTAAAGTAGTTTAATTTAATTTATTTTTAAACTGAACATATATGTCATAATTATTTCATAATATGAATATATACTTTAAAATTATTTACTTTTAGTTTTATTTTATTTCTTACTTTTATTTAAAATTTTACATTTTTTCAAATATCTATGAATACCCATGATATCTGCGGATATATAAAAATTTCATAAATATGGACTAAATAGATACTTACACTAAACGAGACGGGTGACGAAAAGCTTTTACTTGCCCCTATCTCCGCCTCACCTCATTGCTATCTATAGTATAACACCCCTAATATTTTTACTTAATAATTAAATATTAGTTTTAATAATAATTAGACTGATTTTTATAAATACATTTTATTTATATAAAATATGTTATTTTTATTAAAATATATTTAATTTAATAATTGAGGAAAGAGACATGAGTCATGATTAAATTATTTTTACTAAAGGGTTAAGTGCGGGTTAAGGATTAAGAAGGAGGGTTATGATAGTTTCTCATTTTACGCTACTCATTTTTTCACTTTTTACGTTTGTCTTATAAAGAATTGAGAGAAGAACTAGAGTTCGTGAAAGATCACCCTAGAGATCATGTCCTTCGACTAGTGTTCTCCAAGGTAAAGGGAAGTAAGTAATCTCACTCTAGGCATAAGATAATTGTTGGGTAATAAGATTGATCCCCAATATCTTCTCTATTGTATGTATCGTATGAATGGAAAATCCCAAATTGTGACATATTTTGTTTCTATCTTTTATATTATTCTTCAATGCTCTAATTAATGTCTTGAACATATATGTATAGTTAATTTCGCATAGCAAACTAATCTTGTGAATCTTGAATTGTACGTCGGTTACTATGGAAACCTTAAGAGAATGCAATTTTGATGATTGTATGAAAAATTGATGAGTACGTAATTATGTGTAATTCATGCCTTTTAGAAGTGTATCTTGACCTTTTGAAGTGTTTTACCAATTAGGTTTGTAAATTGATAACTTGTACATGTCGTATAAAATTCGCATTTCTACAGATTTTGGTTTTCTATGTGACATTGGGCACAACCTTGGGCTCGCTAGGCGTTGCTATGGTCGAGAGCAAAGTTTGCTCTTTGTGCCACTCACATTGGGCATGAGTTGGTCCTCGTTAGGCATGAGATCTTTAGGGAGCTCCATGAGGTGATTTTCACTAGGCGTGAGGTGATTCACGTCGAGTGCAAGTTGTTTAGAAAGTTACGAGTGCTCTTTGGCTATGTGATGCCAAGCACCATCCCATACTTGGTACCTATTCTTGTTGTAGCTAATGGAGTATGATTTGGACAAGTCTCGTGTTAATTCATGAATATGACTAAGTATGATGATAGAGTATGAATTTGTTATGTTGTAATGGATAACTATTGCAAATAAATTGATGTTGACAAATCATTATGAATATGCATACTGATAACATGATATTCCATTGAGTCTCGTGTGACAAGCATCATATGTGCACAAATCAACAAATCAATGCATATGTAAATCGTAACTCGTGTCCATTGCATTACGTGTGTGAATGTGTATTGTGTAATGAGTAATGTGATGAATGATGTGGTGAATCATGGTTAATCTAATTGTACCTTGTTATTAATTTAATGGTCTGTGTGTGTATATATATATATATATATATATATTTACTCTATAAGCAAGTCTAAATAATCTTACTCTATTCAATAACCTATGTTCTATATCATATTTCAATAATCCAACCGTTAAATTTAAAGTTTTAATGCATAGATCAAGTTTGCAATTTTTTTTAAAAAATAAAAATCATTTGATACTTTATATCATTAACTCAATTCAACATATAAAATGATTTTATGATTATCTGTCAATTTGAATTGATGAAACGAAGTATCAAATAATTTTTAATTTTTTTTTAATTTTCATACTTGATTTATGCATTAAGTACTTTAAATTCAATAGTTGAATTGTTGGAATTTGATGTAGAACATGAGTTATTGAACGAAATAAGTTTAAATAAACTTACTCCTAAAGTAAACGAATCTCTCTCTCTCTCTCTCTCTCTCTCTCTCTCTCTCTATATTGAGGTTTTGGAAGGTATAGATTAACTTATTGCCATATATATATATATATATATATATATATGGTATTTTGTTATCATGTGTTTGGCTATTCATTCTTATTCTACGTCGTGAGGCAGAGTAAAATATTTCTCTTGGTACTTGTGTTGTCTTTGGTATGTATATTGTTGTAGGTGAGATTCATTATAATGTTGATCATGCTAGTGATGAGATCTAGACCTTGTGTGAGAGTACTCTAATAAGATGTGACATCAGAGCAAAGTTAAGATTTGTCATTTATGTTGCTTAGTCATACCTTAGGATATGGTGTTAGACTTATTTTGTAATGTTTTTATTTAGAGGTTATTATTGGAGTAGTGACATATTTAGTTGTTATGTGATATCCTCTTTCAAATTGGATACTATTTAGTTGGTTATTTATACATGTACTCCGTTTTTAATTAAAACGTTTCATTATTATACTTATTGATTATATGCAGGATAGAAGGTATTACACCTAGGTCTTACCTTTAAAAATGATGTTTTTAGAAAATTCACCTTATATCCAATGTATACAATATTAGTGATAAGTCAAAAAATAAGATATAAAATATGTTGAAATTAAGAGTCTAAGAAAAGTAGAGTTTTAAAAAATAATAAAGATAAGATAGTCTTATTTTAATTACTGATGAAAAAAAATAAAAATACAAAAAGAAGAAGAAGAAAGATTTATGAAGAATGGTTAAAGAAGATAGATTAACAAAAGAAAATAAATAGAAGAAAATGAAGTGAATGAAAAAGATGATTTTTGAAAATAAAATTTATTTTTAAAAAGACAAAGAATATTTAAGAAAAATTTAAAAATAGAGAAGGAGACATGAATGTATTAAGAAGGAGATGTATATATAACATTTGTCTCGTATCCTCTTCTTATCGTGCTTTATCTTCTACGAGAAGCCATCATCAATACAGGACAATATTTATATATAGTTTCTTAAATATTTTTTATTTTCTAATTAAAATTAAAAAATTTAACTTGATAATTTGTATAACAAAAAGTTGGCAATTTGGCATATAAAGTCGACTTTGAATGTTGAGATAGAATCCTATTTTATTATATAAAAAAATCAAAAGTATATAAAGAATTGTGTTTAAAATTTACCATATTTATAAAGGACATATATATATATATATATATATATATATATATATTAATATTATGTTCTCTAATTAAAATTAGAGTTTTATTTTATAAGCTGCACGGTAAAAATTGACATTTAAAGTCAATTTTAATACAACTTGAATCTCTAATTTTGATTTTAAAACACCAATAATATCAATTATTTAAAGTATAATTAGAATATAGTTAAATTTTGGGGCCAGCTATCCCACCCTTTGAGGTGCCTCCAACGTAGCGAGGAGATTAGTCACTGCTATCGGCGGTGGATACTCCAGGAACGAAAAAAAAAAAGAATGTTTTGAATTTATTTAAACCCTCGTAATATATCAGACGAACAAAATGGATAGTTAACTCTCGTTATACTCTATCTATACATATATACACGTTTACAATACATCTCGAATATTTTGGCCATTGATGACGCACTATAGACTATAGAGCTTGATCGATGACCCCACAAGTGTGTCCCAATTGCACAATCAGTATGGTAAGTGATACAATTTCATTTCCACGTCATCGGATAAGAATGATCAACAAAACGCAATAAAAGATAATTTCAGGCAATCGTGATTAATTTGTATCATACTAGTACAGGGGGCGCGGAGCAAGTAGAAAGGAAAACCACGTTTCAAAATATAATCGAATTTAAACCGAGACTAAAAAAGTAGTCCACTTTATTCGTTTTCTTCCAACATCCATTGTCATCAAATGGCCATTTTTGTTCCACATGCCAAAAGCATATAATATAATATTCTTCAACCAAACAAGGTTATGACCGAATGTTCCAGACTAATCAAACAAATATTGTACATATATACATCACCTTCTGGCTTCTACAAAATTCTAAACCTTCAAGAACCATATTAAAAACTCGATTCTTAACCTAAAGAACCATATTAAAAACTCGATTCTCTATTCTTCCCGACGCGGCCTAAGCTCTATACATATAGATAGTTTACAATATATTTGGTACAAAGGTTAAGAGTAACTCAAAAATGCTTTAACCTTTCTGAATTCACTTGGATATACGAGCACAGAATCTAAACAGAGACCGCCTTTAGTGTGCGTGCAATCAATTTGAGTCATAGAGAACTTAACTTTTGTTGATGCATTGCCATTCTCGACAACAAAATCCCCTGCATGGTAATAGATCCATTTGCCAGGTCCGTCCAGAAAACACTGGGATGCAACATACTGCCCATCTGAAGTCCATAGCTGGAAACGCACAGGCTTTATGTCCCACCCATGGACATGCTCTGTGTTGCAGACTCGTCTTCCAAACCTCTTGGAGGCTCGCCCTAGATGTAATCTGAAGAACAAGCTGTATTTCCCAGCTGGAAATGGGAACTCAAGTTCCCCATCCACTTCAAACCACCAGATTTGCTGGAGGTATGCAACACTGCCGAATCTGCAAATGAAGGAGATAACACTTATTTAGACAATTAAACTACATCACTGGAGCTTCAAACTAGCATCATCAACCAGAATAACAATAGAAAAGGCGCAATCTTCATTAACATATAAATGCTTTCCCTTCCTTCACAACATCACAAGAACAATACCAAAACCTACAAGTTTGACATGATAGGTGAATTTTAGAACATACAGTACAGCCAGAAGACTTCTGAACATGGGGAAAAAATGCAAATAACCACCAAAATTTCTAGGTAATAAAACACTAAAAGATGAATATGTAATTGTTACAATAGTCATGGTTATAAATTGCGGTTGCAACCACAATTAGGTCTCTGCAATAGCAATTACAATGACATCATCTGCATAGTCGGAAATTTTCCACCACACTGCTCCAGTTAGCCCCCTTTAACTTCACTTCATAGTTCATCCCTAAACATTCCTCTTCAAATGGATCAGTTAAGTGAACTCATCCCATGATTGAATGGATTTTATTGTCACAATGACTACCTAAAGAATCAAGTGGCAGAGTGTGACAGAGTATAGGAACTAACTTTTGACCCAAAAAAGATATTCACACTCTTTGAATAACATATATAAAATATTTAACATCTTCAAAGAAGGGGGGAAATGCAAAGATAGCATTCTACTAAATAAAACTATAAACTAAAAAGTTAGCAAAGAGAAGGATGCAGATTGCAGAATAAACACGGATAACAGCATATAGAATATGGATACTACTCATAGTCTCATACAGTCATACTAGCATCAATAGGTATATGGTATAACATACTGGGAATTCCATTGATCGTAACTTTGGAACCCTTTTAGTATCTCACGGTTATTGGGGTTTTCAATTTTAATACTCATGGTTACTAAGGGTTTTATGTTTTAGTAATTTAACATTGATTGTTAACCAAGCTGGGTTTCCTCAACGATTGCCATGTCACGAGTTCAGACACACTAGGGTTTCCTTAAGGATTGAATAGCTATGTCATGACTCATGAGTTCACATTTTATTTTCCCCCTCCCCATGCGCAGTCAGATCCTTACCCAAATTCAATTTCTCCCCCATCCATCCCCCCTTTCTTCTCAATTTTTTCATCATTAGTTTATCTCTCTCAAACAGGATAACACAGTTTGTAAACCCAGGCGGATTAATATAAATCAATAATAATAACAATTTTTTTATATAAAAAAAGTGTTGGAATGAGTAAAAGGTAAAGAAAATGTGACCTGGATTCCTCAGTGGGGATATGGTTCCAGTATCTCCTATCATCAATTCCAGTTATGGAGAGTCCCTTGGCCGAAACGCACATACACAGCTTACCCAAGCTTCGATCCAGCCAAACTTTCTGCGGAAACACACAGACACAAAAACACAACTCTTCAAGTCCACTACACGAAAGCAAAACAGAAGCTAACAAAGAGGGTTAGGGTTAGGGTTAGGTTATGAGATGTTTTTTACCTTGGTGCCGTGGTCAAAAGAATTGAGGCGACAAAGCCTGGCGTAAATCCCCCTCTTGCCCAAATGGGAGGGGAAATCGGCGAAGATGCGGCGGAGAAGGGCGGGGTAATTGGGCGGCAGCTTGGATTCCCAGACGAAATCGGCGGAGGAGGCGGCGCGGAAGGCGCGGTTGAGCGTGGCCAGCTGGCAAATCTGGGGCGGGTCCATGTAGGTCATGATCTGAGCCACGCAGCTCTCGGGCAACTCGGCCAAAGCGGAGGTGGACGGCGATTCCGGCGGCGGAGAGGAGAAGCGGAGACCCATGAAATGGAATGGGAGTAGTGACTGAGCTAGCTAAGGGGTGTTTTTTGTATGCCACGAGGCGCACACCGAACAGTTGTGTTGTTTGTGGGTAAAGAAAAACACCACACTTTGCCCTTCTTTTTCTTCCTTTGTTTGTTTCCTCCAGACAGCGCGATCTGACTTGGACTTGACGGAAACCGTATCACAACACGCTAATTATCCACCTTCACTGTTTTTTATTTGTTCAATCTCCATTAATTTTTATGTATCAAACCTGAATATTAACTAATTTTAAATTGCTCTAGAAAAAAGTTCTTCTAAATAGCAAATGTTTTTAAATACTTCATCATTTCATATAACTATTTATATTACATTAAAATTATTTATTATTATTCCATTGTATTAATATTAAAAAAAATATATGATCTATTCCCTCTAAAATGAATAAATTGCAGTTTAGAAAATAAATTTTAATAATAATCATGGATTAAAAAATCAGTTACTGATATTATAATTAATTTTAGATTTTATTCTTTAAAAATACAATTTTTTATATTGCATTTTTTTTCTAAAGTACCTTCTCACCTTATATGATTCGATTCTAAAAAGTTAATGATTTTTGGTGATCTTTAATTTTGTTATGATTTTGGATCTTAACAGATTTTATCGTAAAACAAAAAAAAGGTGCTTGCTTTGGTCACTCTTTCAATGTTGTAACTGAAAGTTTTAAAAAAGAGTGTGTTTTTTTCGAGTAACTGGAAATATTCGTTGTTTATCCACGTTTTAACAAACTCGTGATAAAATTTAGATAGATTAAATTTGTTTGGATAATATCCATAAATTTTTTAAGATAAAAATAAAAAATTAAAATTCATAAATTAAAACTAGTTTATACACAAATTATAAATAAAAAATTTTAAAAAATTATTTTTTTCTACTAATTTTCTTCTTTTAAATATGTTTTTGGATACATTTATCTCATTTTCTAAAATAGAATTTGAAGAAATATCATAGTAATAATATTACTAATGTATTTTCTAGTAATATTTTAAAAGATAAAAGTAATACATAAATTTTTTAAAAGAGAAATCAAATCATATCCGTGTAATCTTTATTAATTATTACATTATTCAACAATTTTTAATTAGATGAGGGCTTTTTAAAATTAATCTATAAACTTAAAAATCATTTTAACTAGATTGTATATACAAGATTTTATAAATCCAAAATTAATTGATACTTCATTCGTATAAATTGAAATTGGCATAATGTATACAATTTAAAATATACTAAAATATGAATAATTTAATTAATTTTTATTGTTGCTTAATTTTGATAAAATTTGATATAAACATTCAAAATAATATTGTCGACCAACAAGTCCTTGGTCTGAATGGTACTAGACCTAATCTCCTTAAATAAATTATTGAATTTGAGTTTTATGTATGGTAAAGACGTAATTAGAATAGAAGACTCCACTAAATGTTGAAGAGTGTTTTAACCTCAAGGCTAATGAGTTTGGACTCTAGGAGTCAAAAACTATCACTTGATTTGCTGGGGTCTAAGGGGAGATATTCATTTGCTTCAATCTAATGTTCTATGCTTTTAATGCTTAAGAGAATTTCATGGGAGCTTTTGCTTGAGGAGTGAGAGGAGCAGTTCAAGAATTAGTAAAATCACACCCTATATGGTTGTGATCATCATTTGAGATAAGAAAGAGTAAGAACTATCTCACATATACATGTATAAGGATTGTGGGTAGTGTTCTTCAATCTCTTATGTGATTTGAGGGGTTAAAATTACCACAAGAGTGTTGATTACATGTTTAGATGCTTGTTGTACGGATTCGTTGTTAATTGATTGATTGGATGAAATTGATACTCTTTGAGTGAAACTAGGGTTTAAGTGTTTGGCGTTGTGATTTTTTTAAAATTGTGTTTTGATCCTGTGTAAACTTAATTTGGGACTTGTAGATAAGTTTAGAGTGATTTAGGAACTCATTGAATTCACAATTAAAGGGCAAAGTTTGAAATCCCAAGTCTATCAAGCATTACATGCATGACCTATGTAACCATGGCTAGCTATGGAACCCTAACGGGCTCCGATTGAATCTTCATTCTAGTGGGAGTGAGTGTATTGTTTATCCATTATGTGGTAATATGTGTTTTTATATACTCATAAACTACCATGTTTGTGTGCCTTATGTGGAGAGCTTATAATACTACATGCATATAGAATTAAGAATGAGTCTTCATGAGTCAAGTGTTCTGTGTTGTGTATGTGTATGAGCTTGTGTTATGTGTTTAGTTAACCACCTGGTCTCTTTATATGTATTTTTAACATGTGTGAGACTATTCTCACTTCTTTGCTTTTGTGTTTGTATTCTTTGTTGGGCTAAATGTCCTTTAAGGTGCAAGCTAAGTAAATGAGTTTAAGTTGTAAGAGACAAAACTTAGACTTTTTTTTTATGTTATAAGACTGCTCTAATTATTTTGTAACATCAAGGTAGGGGATTAGTTTATTAGACTTTTTTTTTTGTTATGGACTCATTTTATTAGCATTTTGTTATTGTTTAAGTTTTAGCATTAATAACTTGTGTACAAGCTTTTTAAGCGTATTTATATTTAGTGTCCTCACATTTTTTAATTAAAATTTCTTATATTTCAAAATACTAAAAGTAAGTATGTTAAATCCTTTCATCCAAGTTTAAACTATTTAGTTTTATTTATTTCAACTATGTATTAATATTTTTTTAAGAATCGATGTTTTTGGTAGAAAGATGTCACAATCATAGTTGATAAAAAAAATTATGAATCAAAAGATAATATAAAAAATATATATATATATAAGTAAAAACCTTAAAATTAATACTATATGTAACAAAAAAAAATAGATCAAATTCAAAATTTGTAATTATGAATCAAGTTAAGTTTAAGCTTATCAAAGCTTAACATGTACCAATCCTAAATGTATATTTCATATTAAAGTTATTGATCAATTTCGTATTTGAACATTTATTTTAAAAGAAATTATACCTATCCTCCTTAATGTTTCTTTAAATGATACACACATTCAAGTTTATAAGTTAATACCTCTATAATTTACCTCCGGCGATTCACATAACCCTCAAGTGAAAGGATAACAATGTTTGTGCTTTGTTAAGAAAAGCAAAGCACGTGCTCTATTAGGAGAAGCAAACCACAAATACAAGCAACAATAATTATATGACAATCCATCTTTGTATTACATGACACAATAATGGATGCAAAGCAATTTATGTATGCTTTGCCACGGCCATGCATGCTACTAGACAAACACTTTAAAAGCTATCATGATTGTCTCTATTTGATTTCACTGAGTAATGAAATTGTAATTTGTACATTACAATTTCCCCTACATGTTTATTTTCATCATGTTAGCAACGTCATTTAGTTGTCAAAGGAAAAGCCATAAAGACATTTATTTATATACAATCTGCAGGAGAGGACGTTAGAGAGGAGCAAGTAAAATTGTGTTGCAGTCCTATATACAATTTGTTTTAGTCGTAAAGCAAATTAACATAGCCTTAAATTTGACTCAGTGACGAGGGATCATGTATTAAAAAAGACCACTTTAACGTTTTAGAGAATGCATTACTTATTAAAATAAAAAATGCACAAAAGCAACACATTTTTCTTTCGGTAAACGAGTAAAGCAAGAAATATTTTTTAATACTAATTTAATGCAAAGTATTGTTGGTAGGAAATGCTAAATTTTCGTCCTCATTCCATTTATATTATATTTTGATTCCCTATTCCATCACACCTTTTGTCCTCTTGAAATTATTATCGTCCGCGTAACTAAATCGGCACCGGCCTCATCCACAATTTCATTATACAACTCATAAAGATGACAGCTACAGTTTATACAACCAACACCATGTGTATACTAGTACTCTGTCGCTATTACTCCGTACAATTCAATTTGATAAATAAATAATATTTCCTAACTCCCATATACACACGCCCGGTTCACATTTTTTAACTGAAAATACAATACCTACAAGAGAAAAATACGAATGAAATTCTGATTGGTATAGATTGTTGTAAGCAACCACGTGTAGAGAAACGCGAGTTTAACATGCTAAGTAATAGCTGAGAAGTGATGTAACAGAAAATATAAGAGCAATTTCAATGGGAGTTGTTTGTCCCATGAAACAACTCAAGTCCCGGTTTCTTATCATTAGAGGACTCTGACATGATAATATGAGTTGCTTGAAGAAAAGAGATAGTTGTTTCCTCAAGCAACCGTTCCTTACTAGATTTCAAGCAGATCTTATTGAACATATTTGGGAACGTTTCAGAAATAATAATGATGAAAATTAATTTCGTATAATGTTTATGTATTTACTATTATTTTTTTATTTTTAATATCTACTTATTATATATTTTTTCTCGTAATTTATTTTCTTTTATTGTAGTGCAATTATCCTTTTTAATAAAAATTTAAAATTGGTTCATAAATGATTAGAAAAAAATTCTAAAAGTTGAATTTTTTAAAGTTTCTTATCATTGGAATAAATTTGTGTTTGAGTTGTTTAATACTGACATGGCACACTAGGGACCACTTTTTCATTTTTTAATGCATGAAACAACTCAAATGAGTTGCTTCCATTGGAGATGCCCTAACTAATTTCTATATATTATTAATTACTTAAAAATTATAATAAATATAAAATAACTATTATAAAAATTAATAAATTTAACATGAATAATAGTTTGAGATTAATAATATAACGACATTGTCTTAATCATTACACTTAATAACTTACAATTGACATAACAAAACAACTAATAATTTATTGTTATAAGTCCACTAATGATTGAATATGTGTTATATATTATTTATGCAAAAGTGAATTAATCATATAAATATAGGTGATATAAATATATTGATTTAGTAAAAATAAATTATATAACCTAAGTTATCGGTCAAATAACTTTTACGATCTATATAAGGACCACCTCAAAGGTAGCTTAAAAAAATTCAGCTTCACCACTACTAAGTGGCCTTTACTGAACAACTCCATATCTATTCATGTTTTGCTCTCATGTCATGTATGACCATCACAATCCAAAACACATGAAAATACAAAAGGGTAAGTTGGAGTAAAAAAAAAAGAAGAAAAT